AACATCAGGTGCCAAATGCAAAGGATGAGAGACATCTCGAGAATAAGTATGATTAAGGACTTAATTGTGGAAATGGAAAAGGTAGGATTAATTGCACTGACACAAAGGATATAGTAGTCCACAGTCTGAATGTTTTTTTTGCTTTAAAGTAGTCTCTTGGTATTACCTTTTATTCATTTATATAGATTAAATTTACAAAGAACCTTCTCAACTCATGTTTAAAAACTAAAGCTGCTTTCTCCACATACCAGAAAATATAACATGTAAGAATGCCACATTAGTCATACCAATTAAATGGTACAGAATAGAAACGATCTTAACACAAAACATTCTGGACATAAGGTCATAGATATCCTCTTGGCTTTTTATCAGGACTTTGAATAAAGGTGATGGAAAAATAAAAGTAAGGTTATGTTTTAACCTATATTTGCAAGTGTAAGCATTTTCTGGAAGACGTGTAGGGTTATCAGTTATCCCTTACCAGTCCCTATGTAATGGAGTAGATAAAAGACAGCAGAAAAAGGACAGAATTATAGTTAAACCACTCAATTCTCTGAACTCAAAAATAAATCAATGCACAAACAAACTACTTCAACACAACTTGATGTGCCTCTTCCCAAAGACGGAAGGGATTAGGACACAATTAGAAAAGCAACAGTATAAACATCAAACAGATAAAATGCGTGTGTGTATGTATATATATTACACAGGCACACTCAAATACATAGACACACACAAACGAATGATCAGCAATCAATGTATTTAAATGCTTATCTGCAAGAGAACTGCAAAGCTGCATGAATTGCAGCCAGTAACAGTTAACACTGTAAGTTGTTTGCAATTTTAGGGAAGAAATTAACCTTCTAGCCTCCAGTTTTCAAGCCCAAGGAGCAGACCACAATTTTTTACAACTTATGAACAAGCCAAGGAATTTATATCACAGTCAGAGGATTCTTTTGCTGAATTAACCCCAGCTCCCTCTGACCCTAAGAAGTCATAAACCAACAGGATACAGCAGAGGGAGAATGTGCTATAGTGTTTCAGCTGACCTACAGAGCGCCGTCTCTGTCAGGCCAAGGCTGGAAACCCAAATGATGAATTGCAGAGCAATATGCTGGGTTCATATGGAAACATCAACCCCTTCCCTCTATACATGCACACGCAGACGTGTTCACTCATCCTAAACCAGCTCAGTTTCTGCAAAAGGCCAAGTGCTGTTAGGGCTCATTTACAAAGTCATACTCTAAGATATAAGAGGGAAGAAAATTGCTTCTCAAGGAAGTGTGCACACATCTGTGAGCAACAATATTTAAGAGCACATGCTGCGTATTAAATAAAAGCTAAAACCCCAGTAAGCTTCTCCTTTCATATATACACAATATGAAACATACCAAAATACAGTTCCAAAGGAGAAGGAGATAGTTACCCAATAACCTTGATTTTAAAAAAGAACAGCTTTATAAATGAAAAAAATTACAAAAATTGATACACAATTCTCTTCAAAAGAACTCTGGATTTGTTTTGTAAACACAAAACAAAGCCTCTTGTACAAAGTAGCTAATAAAAAAAAAAGTCTATCTGACCACATGTACAGAAAATGGGATAACACAAACATCTGCACCCAGACCACAAACCTAATCAGCTGTAATCACTAAGACATGATGATTTTAGCAATATTTACATTTATGGCTTACTGCTTAGTTGTACCAAAAGCTTAGAGCCAGCTGAAGGCTTATTGACAAAGATGAATCGTCTCTTGAAAATGGACAGTGGCTGGTTGTTTCACTTCTAGCTCAGAATGAAAAGTGCAGAGTTTTTAACTAATTCAAAACCACAGAATTTGATAGATACTAACAGCATGACGTATTTAACACTGCAGCATTTAGAAACCAAACATCCATCACTGAATAAAATTTTTTTGTGGCTCCTTTTTTTTTGATGAACTGAAAGCTTCTTACTGCTCAAGAGCATCTCTGAAAAGTTATCAAAGATTTTCACAACGCAGTAAATTTTATTACTAAAAGCCATCAAACAAGTACTCAACTGTTTTTTGTACTATTTGCAGATGATACAGATTCCCTTCAATGACTACCTTAACTTTCTCTAGAAATGGCGCAAGCCTTCCCCAGAAAGCTACGCTTAAGCCCACTCAATGCAGGAGGACAAATTCCTCTTGTGATTAGTCTGTATGCATTAAGATCATGAAAACCTTGTCTGAGGTTTACAGCTACAGCACAAGTCAAAACGACCTCTCCAAAAGTACAACAAGAATCTACAGTACTTTCTCACTAAGCCTCACATAAGGCATTTTCCATATAATTAGATATTTTTTTAAACCACAAGTCACAACTTAGTGGCAACTCCCCATACACCTTTTTTTTTTTATCCCTTCTTTTTCCACATTTCACATCATGATAATCAATAAATGCTCAGGAATAAAAATGGAATGACATCAAAACCAACCATGAAAACATATTTGAGTTGATTCTCATAGGACGTGAATCACAATTTTCCAATGAAAATGTCATTGACATTACAACAGCAGCTAGAATGAAAGAGGAAAGGATCAGAGTTTATTTATCACAGGTCATTATAGCTTAATTTAGCAAGGCATTTTTCTTGAATTAGTAACTCCCTTTAAAATGTATGCCTCCAGCATTTTAGGAAAAGAAAGAAGTCTCGAAGGCTTCCCTTCTTCAGTGTTATTCTTCCATTAATTGTTTTTGCACTGTGTATTCCCATAATTTCAACCTGCATCATTTCCTGGCAAGGTAGTTTCTCCCACCATATTTAATTTACAAGTGTACTGGAAATATTCAGTACCTTTCTATTCCAAGTTAGTTCCAAATGTCATACTTCACTGTTTATCCTATAGTAGTACCTACAAATTTTGTATGGCTCTATAGCCAAGGTTAGAGGTCTGTGGCTTCATGAAACTCACCTTAGCCTAACTCCTAAACTTAGAAAAGCCAGCTTGAGGGAGACAAAACATTAAATGTAACTGGTAGCAGCACATGTGCGAAAAGCATTTTCACTCAGACAGCTATAAAGCATTTTCCTCATGAGCTATCTGAACTAAGAACTTGAAAAACCATGGCCTTCTTACACTGTGCAGACTGGTGTACATTTAACATGGATGGTACACAGAAAACATATCTGAAGTTGAAAGGAAAAGGTCTCTGAAAGAAGGGGAAAAAACCAAACAAAACCACCATATTTGCCTGCAAAAGATATTGGAACATGAATCTAGAGATTTTAATGAAGAATTATAGTAACATTTTGATACTCCTTTAAGTATTGGGGGGGATCTATAAAAGTCCAAATTTTCATGAAAGTCTAGTATGCCAAAAATATAAAAAAAAGGAATGTAGTTCCTCATGGGATGGCAAGGTGAAGGTAAAAAAATACCCATAATTAAAATAGCAAAATAACTTCATTAAAGTAACTGCTTCCCTTTACTCCTCCCGGTGCTAAGTGGTTCTAAAAGTCACAATTCCCAAGCATTCTCTAAATTCTCATTCCACATGCTCCATGACTGTTGGGGTTTCTTCTTTCATCTTGTGTCCATCTTTAAAGTCCAAAAAAGAAGGGGAACCCTCATCTTATGGAGCGTAAGACTGAAGAGAAAGACAGAACAGGTGAGACTGAAGGAAGTCTTTGAACGGAGTCAAAAAGGTCAAAAACAAGAATAAAGAAAGATGGAGAGAACTTCTGCCTTGCAATTCTGGATCCTAGCAGCATTGACCTTCAGTGTACTTTGTGCCTATGATTATGAAGTATATTCAAATCACCTGAGCAGAATACGTATACAGAGCCATTTTTGCATACGTTTTATACAGTTGCTTGGGAGGAATAAATGTTCTAAACATGGAGGTAAAAAGTCGCTTTTAGCCTCTTAACCTGACTGCAGGGCCAGGACCACAATTTGCAGGTGTCTGTAACAGTCAGGTCCAAAAATCACTATATATCAAAAACCCGTTAATATAAGTCTTGATAGAATGAAGTGACAAGACTTTTCCAAAAATAGTAGAAAGCCAAATGATTAAAAAACAGCAGTTCCATCATCTCTCAAAAAAACATATTTACTTATGTGATGTGAATGGAATGTTACAGGAAGGCTATTTGTAAACTGATGCTTTGACCGCCAAAGGCAAATCTATACTATACTATGTTGGAAACAAATCATCACAAAGAAACCCCTTTCAGTTGCCTGCCACTTATCTGAATGAAAGTGTAAGCTCATAAAATGAAACCTGCCAACACAACAACATGACTAAGTGATTTTCAGTGCATTTACAGAAGCACATAAAGCATGTGATAGGGAAAG